AAAAGATGAGTGGAGGAGGAGAAGGGAGACTAGTTTTGAAGTTAATCTTTGTTCTTAAGTTCAGCACTTTAATAATTTGGATCGATGCTTTTGTACTTGTTCGAAGCTGGCTCTTCCTTGTGCTGTCCCTCTCTCAGAATAGGTGGAAAACCTGAGAGGACCGTTAGAGGTCAGCATTTGTACTGAGGAAGTGTCATATGTGACCAGTAAAAGCATCTAGCTTCTGGTCTTAGAAGGGTATTAAGATTGAAAAGAACTTTAAAAGTTTTATGAGTCTTACATTACAGAACGAAGCTCTGGGTGTACTGTGAGAGAAGAATTACTGAGGAATTTTTCTTTCTCTCTATTGCTTCATACCTGTAATCCAGTAGTTCAATTTCTGTTTCTGTGATTTACTTAGGAGTGATAGGGAGACAGTATTCTGTCACCAGTGCAGTTGTTTTGTGTTCTCTATTTTCTGTCATTTCCTTCACAGTAGCCTGGAGCTTGGCTGGAGTTTTTTTGTAATGATAAGCATGTTTTCAATACAAAATATGTAAATAATAGCACTAGTAGAAGCTGCTGAAGTGAATGAGTATGAAATTCTGAAACAAAACTGTTTCTAAAGTTTGTAAAAGTCCCAGATTTACTTCAGCCACTCTATACTGATGTGATTTTGATGCATTAGGCTTCTAAAAGCATGTGTGGAGCTTTTGGAGGGAGGGCATTGGGATTTTGTTGGTGGTAGTGGAGCAGCTTAGTAGACCCACTGCTAACCCACAGTGTTTCACTCCTCACAAACTTCTTAAATGTACCAGGGGAAAATAGATATCTCTGTGGAACTTACTCATAGAATCATAGAATGGTTTGGGTTGGAAGGGACCTTAAAGATCATCTAGTTCCAACCCCCCTGCAATCAGCAGGGACACCTTCCACTAGACCTGGTTGCTCAAAGCCTCATCCAGCCCGGCCTTGAACACTTCCAGGGAGGGGGCATCCACAGCTTCTCTGGGCAACCTGTTCCAGTGTCTGACCACCCTCACAGTGAAGAACTTCTTCCTCATATCTAATCTAAACCTCCCCTCTTTCAGTTTAAAATGTGGGGCTGCTATAAGGTCTCTCTGGAGCCTTCTCTTCCTCAGGCTGAACAGCCCCAACTCTCTCAGCCTGTCCTCATAGGAGAGGTGCTCCAGCCCTCGGATCGTCCTCGTGGCCCTCCTCATGACTTGCTCCAGTAGGTCCATGTCTTTCTTGTGTTGGGGACTCCAAAACTGGCCGCAGTACTCCAGGTGGGGTCTCACAAGAGCAGGATAGAGGGACAGAATTACCTCCCTCAGTCTGCTGACCGAATATACATAATTATAATCTTGATAATTGATCTGTAGGCATTTATGTTTTCCTTAAATGTTGTCCCATTTGTTTTCATTCATATTTGCTTTCTTCTCAAGAAGAAGTCTGTGCATAATGATTTCTTTCGATCTGTTTGTGTCTTGAAGGCAGACAAGATTTGTGTGTGTCCTGGCTACATCTACCCTTTTGAAGTTACTTGGCCCATAGAGTAATCCCTGCCTCCACACCAGGCTAGGTTAACACCTCTAGATGTGGTGGTGCCTCTGACACTGATGTGCCCACTCCAGGAGTCCAGGACTCCTCTGGATGCTGCATGTGCCCCTGTGGCCCTAGGACAGACTTGTGTCCAAGTAACAGACTAGGTTGCTTGAATTCCCATGAGTTTGTTTTATTCAGCATGTTGTTTATGAGCAAAACAAGGAACACAGCTGCAGAGCCAACAATTGATTGGTAGTCTAATCAAAGACTTAGTTCAGACACTAACACAGTTCAAATTACTTACAGTCACAGTGATGCAGGCACAAACTCTAGTACCAACCCTTTCTTTGATATTATCTTTGCCCGCCCTCTCTGCCTCTGGGACTTGGCTAGCTTCATCTGGGAGGGGGAAGTCTTTACAGCAAGTCATGAGCATCCCAAATTCTTCCCTGGCAGGAGGAGGATGGTGATGGTTTCTTCCTCCTTGCCTTGGGTCCATTTAGGATGATTTTTATGTGCTTGTTAACATGCTGTGCACTTTGCTCTTTATTCCATTCTGTTCTGCTCTGTTCTAGACATTGATTCGTGACCCCACATTACATCTGAATTTACTACATGGTTATATAGTTTTACATATGTTGAGTACTTGTTCTTTGTTCTATATGTTGCCTATAAAACTGTTTTTTCCCAGCTTCCAAGACTGCCTCCTGTTGATGAACAGTAATTAAGCACAGGTGAGCTGTTATTGCTTAGGGCCCCAGTGTTTGTGCTTTCAGGCCCCTGAAGTTACCCCATGCCTGTACTCCTCTGTGCTGCATTTGTGTAAGGGGTGTAGGTAGTTCACTCTGCACAGAACAACTACTGGTTGTTGCTCTTTGTTGTTTATAAACATAACTGTAACAGGAGGTGCTATAGACAATTGTACAAAGCTAAGCAAAAAGCTATAATGCTTTAGGTAAGTTTCCTGGTTGTTAACTAATTTTGTTGCAGTTAAATAAGCTGTAGGAAAGCTCCAGGCACCCAAGGTGAGTTCAGACAAGGTCTGACAAGTTTTGTGGCCCATGTTGTTAGCTGGAAATGAAGCCTTTGGCTTCTGTGGGTTACAAATGCAACTACTTTTTTAATATTTGGGGTTTTTTTTTCAGTCAGGATGACTGTAATAATATGAGGACTGTGTTAGAGCCCTCCAGAGTACTATTTTTATATTATTTTAGTATTTTAATGTAAATATATTAGTTTATATTTTATTTTATATTTTTTGTAGTCCCTAAGATTCTGTCCCATGGAGACAGAACTGATGCAGTCTTGCCTGTGCACCCTGTAGAGAACAGATTGTCCCCAGAATTCTGCCCATGTTTCATTTTGGGCTTGGTATCCTCCTCAGGGAGCAAAATACCATAGATTCTGCGCAGATGTTTGTGAGGCCAGGACTTAGGAGTGGGGCTGTTTGGGAGTAGGGATGCACCTAGTATGTTCCAAGATTCTTGCATGATCTTGCCTTTGCACTCATGAACATATCTGAGGGTCTTCATTACACTTGAAGACTAACAAGATATTTCAGAAGTATACACCTAATCATTACTGTATTGCCTTTAATAACTGCATTATTTCAGAAGAAAAAAGAACAGTCATTACTGATCATTTTAACGTTCACAATAACTGATGCCTTCCAGCGTGTATTTAACAATCTCTATGTCAAGTGATCCCAAGCACAGCTTGTCTTCTTTCTGGGCTTTGCAGTGCGACACTAGTTTTCATCAGAATCCCCTCTGATGTAAGTTTTAGTCATGTAATTTATTTGGATCACTTTGAAAATATTTAGGTGCTTAAAAAAATGTTATTTTGGAAAGTTACTCCCTAAGCAAAGAAAAATACAATGTTAATTTCCCAGCAGCTTCCCAGTTTAGGAATCTGTTGGCATATTTGTTCTCCCTGTATAGATGATGAGGGCAAATGGATTCCGGTCACTGGAGACAGAGTTGTGTTAACAGTGAACTGGGCCAGAAAGCTTGAATTTGTGATGAAACCTGTCTTGGCAGCTGACACTTTTGTACTCCTTGGCTATGCAATTCTGCATGTATAGACAGTGGAACAGAAGGCCGAGAAGCATGCTCAGTTTATTTCATTGGGAAATAATACAGTGAAAAATGTACAGCTCATTTACAGCTGTGTTGTATGCCCTGCAGTGTAAAAGAGTTTTGATTGAAAGCTGCTCATTTTTTTTGTGTGTAGTTTGCTTTACCATTGAGAAATGGGCTGGGAGCTTATGTCATTCAACAGGCAGAGCTGACGGGCCCTGATGCAAGTCCTATTTATTCACTCATTAGAGACCTGATGTCCTGAAAGATTGAAGGTAGATAGATGGTGAAATAAGCTTGAGAGCTGTAAAGAGTGGTGAGAGAGACAAAAGACATGGGAGGCTAAACCTAGTCACTAAAATACTTCCTAAACTGATGAGAAAATTATTTTGACTAAGAAGGTGGAGAAAATTTGGGATATATTCGCTCCGTTATATTCTCAGGAAGTGTCTTCAAAAATACAAAATAAGGTGATTTTACCTTGAGCTTAGGGGATTTTTCAGTTTACATCAGAAGACAGGCTGCAGGAGCAGGTCTTCTCATTTTATGCCACATACCAGCAGTGTGGTCCCTCTTATCAGGTATAAAACCACCAGAAGGCCATATCTGCATTTTCCTATAAAGCACGTGGCACAAATGTGTGTGCTCCTGCCAGTTCTTGGAGGCGTGAAACACTAAATGTTGTAGGATATGAGAGCACTTTGCAGGGCAAAGGCTGTGATACAGTCTCATTAACGGTTAGGGACAGAACATCCTCCAGGCAAATGGGTAACTGATTTTCAAGCCCATTATTTAACATAATTGGTGTGTCAGAAATTGAGATATGGAAAATTTAGTAAAATTCTACAAATATCTGAATACTAGTCACATGACTAAGTTGTTAATTTATTTGGTTAAAAAGTTTTAAAATATGTTTAAATTCTTTTCCTGAATAGTGTTAAACTTTCAGTTGTCTTCTGTTTTGTTTTCAAATGCTTCTTTTCCCCTCTTGCTAACCTGGGAGTAATTTCTTATTCTAGATTTAACTGTGTTAATTTTCTGATTTCTCTTTTCAGGATAAAGTGCTTCAAACTACTGAGTGGAATACTAGTAGCAATCCTAGAGTGATGTCTGTCACATTTAATATAAATAATAAGGCTAATGTAGCACATCATGTGCCATAAGGTTATAGGAATCGAATAATTTTATAGGTTTTTTTTTTTTTTTTACCTTTTTTTCTTAACTGAACAGCAAAACCGTTCTCACTTTTTTCCTCTCTCTAAATTGTTACAGAAAAAATGCATTCTGAATGATAGCTGCTGCTTACTGAACAGAACTACAAAGATCTCGTGCTTTGCAGATGAAGATGATAAATCCAAGGAAATAATCCAGCTACTGCCATTGTGACATCTGAAAAGTCCTTTGTGTCAAAATGAACAATCTTTGAGAAAAATCTGGAAAACAGTTAAATCTGAAAAATGGGAGAAAGAGTAAGGAGCCCAGATTCTGAACACGACAGGAAGTCAGATGGAGATAAAAATAGTGACTCCTATTATTCAGATGAAAATAATACATCTCCTTCATCTGGCCAGTCACCCACACTAAGCTATCCATCTACAAGCCAAGAAAAAAGAGATCACAAAACACAACCTTCAAACAGCCTTGTGCAGTACCAAGGTAGGTAGATAGCAGAAACTGCTGCTTTGTAACTGCTCTAAAGAGTTAATTGTCTTTGAAAGCTGAAGTAAAAGTGGGAAGCTACCTTTATGAGAATCTACAAATAAGGTTCATGTAAATAAATTATGCTACAGATGGCAGGTAGACTGTAAGTGCTCTGTTGAAAACTGAAATTAGACTTCCTTATGCAGGAACAGGTTGCATTTGGTGATTTTTTCAGAACTATTCATGGACAAGTGAACGTGGCTCTTATATTAGCCTTGTGTTGAATTATGCTGATGCTCTCTTTTTGTCTTTGACAAAAAGACTTGAAGCCAAGGACACAAGGCAAGTCCTTACTATGCAGTCAGTAAAAGAGAAACAATTGTTAAAATTTCTCTGACAAAATACCTCTGAAGATCTCTCTCTTGTGGAAGTCTAGTTGACTAAGCTTTACAGTGTAATATTAGGTATTTTCAAAAACCAAACAAATGCAACATCACTAATGTGGCAGGAGAGAGAGAATGTGTTTGGTGAAAGTTAGGTGCATGTGGAAATTCCAAAGAAAGTTTTTCCTGGACCTTTTTTGAGGGTAAAATATCTCCAATTTGAGATGAACTAACTTCACTTTGAGTTCCCTCACACACAGCTCACCTCTACAAGCTGCTTTCTTGGTTGCGATTGTGAGGAAGCGAACACCTCTACAAAAAGAGAGGATGGTTATACAGGTCCTGGGCTAAAGTAGGAATGTGAAGCCTCTGCTGTACTTTGACAGCTTGTTCTGAATAGTTGCACACATTTTCTGGTGAATTTGGAGCTTGTCCTGCCTTTCTCAAGCACGTGCTCCATTTCATTCCTAAGTGCCTGACACAGTGTGAATCCTTTGGTCAGCATTATGATCTAGAGCGTGCCCGAGTATCTAACCGTCAATATTGAAGTTGCCCAGGGAGCGTATCTCTTCAGATCCTTGTCAGTGTTGGTGTCCTGGTGCAACTGGTGTTTTGCTGAGCTTCTCTGTGTTCAGAAGTGGCATCTTCTCCACAGCAGTCCTGAGTTAGCTTGCTGGGAAACAAAAACCTGCACTTCACTGCACTATTTAATTTGAAGGGGGCAAATGAATGATTAGTTCTTTGATTATGTAGCCAGAATTGAACATATTTATTATATGAAGATATTGTGAATGTCACGATGTTCTTGAAAGACACTGTTCCCCAATTTAACTGTATGGTCAAAAGTGCTAACTTGGTATTGGAATTTTCTGTTTGGCCCTAAATGTGGAGGAATTCTTGAAGGGGCTGGAATTCTAGGGTTAATGGGCTTGGTTGGTGATAGGAGTGGCATCGTTCCTGCAGTGCATGTATTAGATAATCTTTTCATACCTCAATCTGACATAAGTGTTCTTTGTAAAGGGAAAAAAACCCACCCTTCTTTTGTTTGCCCAAGCTGTGGAAAAAATGAGCATCGAGCAGAAAATGAATGAATGCTTGTGCAAAATGTTTAGATGAAATAATAAGAAAATATTTTAAAGCTGCTATTTTTGCCATAAAATATTCCATGTAGAATAAGAAACATGGTGAGCGCCAAAGGGGAGGAAAGATTTGCTTTCACACACACTCCCTGTCTGTGTACAGGTAACTGCACTGTTGCTGAATCTCAGGTTTCAAGCCTGAATTATAAGCTGCTGCTCAATGTTTCTTCCAAACACTGATGTACCTTAATGAATTATGCACTTTCTATATATTCAGTTGTTTTAAGAGATATTTTTTGTGGTTTATATGCTTCATTCTTTGAGTGTGGCTTAAGAGGCAAATAAGATTGAAATAAAATGTTTAGATTTTATTTATGGGGATGATAATAAAATAGTAATATCAAATAGGAATGTGAGTGATGCATACTAGTAATCAAGTAAGGATACTGTGTGGAAAATAACTTGTGATACAAGAATAAATTATTCAGGGGAGAAATGAATTTTCATGGGTTTTATAATTTTGCTTTGTAGGCTTTTTGCATTGAGCCTTTGAAATCTGCTGTTTTGTCTGTAAGCATGGCAGCTGGATTTGAAAATACTACTGCATTTGTCTGAAAGAATTACGTCTTGCATAATGCATAACTAGCTAACGCTCGGCTAATTGTTGCCATTTTAAAAGCATTTGATTATATTGTATGCATAAGAGTACAGTATTTCTAAAACATTTTAATAAACATCAACAAATGTTAACAAAATATGACTGTTATTTCCAATACAATTTGCAGATGATTACTTTACAATGGTCCTATATTTATGGCTGCAAATATTGCCTCTTACAGTAGATCTCAAACATGTCTCCATTTTTTTATCTTTCAAAAGGAGTGTAAGTCTATCATACGTATGCCTTTTATTGTCTAGTCTGAAAGCTGCCATCTCTGCTAAGTATTGTAAAATTGTTTCAAGCAGAGCTTTATTCCAAGAAGGATGTCTGAATAGACAAATTGCATTGTCTTATAGTAAACATGCTTTTTATTTTTCCTCTCTTAGCCACAAAGAAATTGGGTTCCAAATATGCACCAAGCAAAAGAGGGACGCGATGGGGTTTCCGTTCTCAGAGCCTCACTAGGGATTCTCCTGAAAAAGATATAGATCTTGTTACAAAAAGAGTTCTTTCTGCCAGGCTGCTGAAAATCAATGAGCTCCGAAATGAGCTGACCGAACTGCACATCAAACTAGATGAGCTGCAGAAGGAAAACAGGGCACTGAAGAGGCTTCAGCACAGGCAGGAGAAAGCCTTGAATAAGTTTGAAGATACGGAAAACGAAATCTCTCAGCTTCTTGCTCGGCACAACAATGAGATTAGAATATTAAGGGAGCGCCTGCGAAAATCTCAAGAGAGAGAACGTGCAACTGAGAGACGGCTGAAAGATTCGGAAGAAGAACTGTACAGAACAAAAGCTGTCTTACAGAAACTGAAAAAGCTGTCTGCAGATAAGCACCTTGCTGAAAGAGATGACCTGGCAAAGAAACTAGCCTGTGCAGAGAGCAGACTAGAGGACAGTGAAAAAAGAATTAAGGTGAGATGACTTTCTTTCCGTAAGAAATTCTGGTACAGAGATTTCTTACCATAATGAGCTTTATGAATTGTATTTTTTCACAGTTGTGGAGCAAATAGAAAATATTTTTTTTTTTTTTTTTTTTTTTAACATATAAGTAAAATCAAGTAAATTATTTCCAAGGTGATTGTATAGTTACATACTTGGTAGTTGTGCACTCAAATTTCTATTTACAAATGAAGCGTATTTTTCAGACTATATACTGTGGACTTGTGTTTTTAAGTATTTTTATAACTAGTAGTAATGTTTCAGAAATGCATGCAGCTACAATACAACTTTATGCAATCTAACTTATCCTCTTGAAGGGGAAACATTTGTTAAATATTTTCTGGATATTTGGGGAACTGTGTACTAAAATTCTAAAAACCATATATATA